GAAGGAAGGAAGGAAGGAAGGAAGGAAGGAAGGAAGGAAGGAAAAAATTCTTTATTGGCCAAGTGTGATTGGTCACATATTGGCCAAGTGTGATTGGACACACAAAGCCCTTGTCTTTGGTGCATATGCTCTCAGTGTACATAAAAAGCAAAGATACATTCATCAAGAATCATAAGGTGATACACTTAATGATAGTCATAGGGTACAAATAAGCAATCAAATCATACTAGGAGACAATCAATATAAATCGTAAAGATCAGTGGTGGGATTCAATTTTTTTTACTACCAGTTCTGTGGGCGTGGCTTGGTGGGCATGGCTAGGGAAGGATACTGTAAAATCTCCAGTCAGAGGTGGTATTTGCCGGTTCTCCAAACTACTCAAAATTTCCGCTACCAGTTCTCCAGAACTGGTCAATGCTGAATACTACCTCTGGTAAGGATACAAGCAACAAAGTTACAGTCATACAGTCATAAGTAGGAGGAGATGGGCGAAAGGAAGGATGGGAGGATTAATAGTAATAGTAATGCAGGCTTAGTAAGTAGTTTGACAGTGTTGAGGGAATTATTTGTTTAGCAGAATGATGGCATTCGGGAAAAATCTGTTCTTATGTCTAGTTGTTCTGGTGTGCAATGCTCTATAGCAGTGGCCCCCAACCTTTTTTTGAACCAGGGACCAGTTTCACGATTATTTATTCTTCCACGGACCGGTACCTGAGTAACGCAAGACTCCACCGCCATTGGGACGGCTCTTCGTTCGAAGCCACCCCCCCTTCGACGAAACTAAGGCGCGAGCACCCAAATGCCGCTTTCCAACTGAAAACCCAGAAGCACTTTCCAACCGAAAACCCGGACGCGCCGTCAAAACAAGATGGCAGCACCCAAGCTTTGCGGCCCGGTAAAAAATGATCCACAGACCGGTACCGGTCCAGGGACCGGTGGTTGGGGATCCCTGCTCTATAGCATAGTTTTGAGGGTAGAAGTTGAAACAATTTATGTCCAAGTTGTGAGGGGTCTGTAAATATTTTCACAGCCTCCTTTTTGTCTCATGCAGTATACAGGTTCTCAATGGAAGGCAGGTTGGTAATAATTGAATTCGCCACACCAGAGGAGAAGTAAGAGGCCCTGCTGTCCCGCAGAGGCTGCACTGCTTGAGTTGGGAGGACGAGTAGAAAAACCGCTACTCAGTTGATTCTCCTGCCCCTCCCCACTGCCAGCAGCTTGAATGGCCGAACTAAAGCAGGGATTGCACGCTTGCTCACTCTCATACACATACACACACACACACACACACACACACAGAATTTGAAGAGACCTTCCCCTCTCTGTCTCTCTGCGGCAGCAGTTGCAGAACTTCAGTGCCTAGCTGGTGGGGTGCTCAGGTAAGCCAGTCCGGGATGAGGGGAAGAAAACTCCGTACCCCGCCGCCTTGATTCCTACTCCACCACCATCACCCGCCTCGCTGCTCAGGTGGCTCCTTCGCCCACGCCTGAATAACTTCTGCTAAAGAAAGCAAAGAAGGAAAACTGAATTTTTCAGATTATAGTTTCTATTTATTGCACCAATAGACTTCTTTGCATTCAAATAAAAACCTGGTATTAATGCTTCCTTCTTCAAAAATTTCTTCCCAAGTTTTTGTTAGCCTCAGGCAGTGTTTCTCAATCTTGGCCACTTTAAAATACATGGACTTCAACTGACGTTGAGAAATGCTGGTCTAGGGTCACCAAGAATTAGTCTGATAGCTAAGCACCCTTTAAGACAGGATCTCCAAACTTGGCGGCTGGCTGGGGAATTCTGGGAGTTGAAGTCCACAAGTCTTTGAAGTTTGAAGACCCCTGCTTTAAGACGAAGAAATGCTTTTATCAGCTGTTTCTATTATAAGCAGAGTGACCATACTTTATTGGGAAAAAAAATAAAAGATAAACCTGAAAAAGGGATAGAAGGTAACAAGTTTTGCTTTACAAAGGAAAATTCAAGAACAAAAAACTACATATAACACAGATGATTACATTACATCTAAAGACACTTTTCTGAAATAAAAGATGTGTGGATGCTTCAATATATAAGGCAGATGCTTCCACAGTCTGTGAAGTGAGCTGTAGCTTAGGATCTTGCAATGAAAGCAGAGGTGGTATTCAGCAGGTTCTGACCAGTTCTGGAGAACCAGTAGCGGAAATTTTGAGTAGTTCGAAGAACCGGCAAATCCCACCTCTGACTGGAGATTTTACAGCATCCTTGGCCCTTGCCACGCCCACCAAGCCACTCCCACAGAACCAGTAGCAAAAAAAATTGAATCCCACCAGGATTGCCATCTGGCCGTTTTTCCAGCCAAATTCGAGAAATCTGGCCATATAGAAATCTGTTTGGCCGTGAAAAAAATCATGTCTCCAGCCAAATATATTTGGCCGGAAATTTGGCCATATGAAAGTTGCTTAGCCGTGAAATCAAAATTTTAGCTGATATATATAATTCTATATATAATTGCTATTTTTGTGTCGTTTTATTTGTTTAGTGATTATATTTTTTCAATGGGGGGGGGAATCCCCCTAAAAACCCTCATGCCCTAGCTCCCTCCTCCTCAGGATCGCTGCATTTGGCCCTGAGCTTTCCAAACGGTAGTAGCGGTTATTTGAAGTGAGCTGCCTAGCCTGGATGTGAGTAAAGAAACGCAGAAATTCCCATGACGTCACGTCACGTTATCGAATAAAGACTATTTTTTATGATTTGATTATTTAAAAACAGAAAAAAAAAACAATATATCCTCATGTTATATTGCATAAAAAAAATTGGCTGGAAAATTTGGCCATGAGAGAAAATAATTTGGCCATATTTTGACTTGAGTTTGGCCGCAGAGCCAAGCTGCGATCTGGCAACCCTGAATCCCACCACTGAATGAAAGGTGTCAATCTTAAAAAGAAAATACTCTACCTGACTCTGTGGTTTCTTCCCCAAACCCCAAAACCTTTAACCTTAGACTGTCTACTATTGACCTCACCCCTTTCCTAAGAGGTCTGTAAGGGGCATGCATAAGCACCAGACTTGAAATTCTAGAACTAGAAAACCTTGAATTACGCCGTCTTCGGTCTGATTTAAGCATGGTATATAAAATCATACATTGCAATGTCCTACCTGTCAATGAATACTTCAGCTTCAACCATAACAACACAAGAGCACACAACAGATACAAACTCAAGGTTAACCGCACCAAGCTTGATTGCAGGAAATATGACTTCAGCAACCAAGTGGTCAATGTCTGGAATACTCTACCTGACTCTGTGGTTTCTTCCCCAAACCCCAAAAACTTTAACCTTAGACTGTCTACTATTGACCTCACCCCTTTCCTAAGAGGTCTGTAGGGGGCGTGCATAAGCGCACCAACGTGCCTACCGTCCCTGTCCTATTGTTTCTTTTATTTTTATTTTATTTTTCTTATATGTACTCATTTCATGCATTCATAATTATGTATACACTTTTACTTATTATCTCGTAAACAATTGACAAATAAATAAAATAAAATAAAAAAATAAAAACGTGCCTACCGTCCCTGTCCTATTGTTTCTTTTCTTTTTTTCCTTATATGTATCCATTCCATGTATTCATAACTATGTTTATACTTACACCTGTTATCTTAGCTTGACAAAATAAATACATAAAACAAATAACCCTTGGGTACAGCTGGTCCAAACTCAAGACTCAAAAAAGGCTACAGCAAAAGCAAAAGGCTTTCAAGGCGGGAAGACTACACTTCCCGACAGGCATCGGGAACATTCCCCCCCCCCCCACCGATGATCACATGACCTTTCCTATTCGCAAACCTACCCTGCCGGCCGTGTCATAAAGATCGTGGCCGCCGCCCCCCCCCCCCGCCCCCCCCTCTGGGGAAAACGGAAGGAGAGAGAGAGGAGAGAGAGAGAGAGGTCGCGAAGCGCCATGGAGGTTGAGCGCTGCGGGACCCCCGTCCTGCTTCTGCCTCAGCGCCGGGAAGAGGAGCGGAAGCTGCAGCAAGAGAAGCTCTCCGGGGTGGTGAAGAGCGTCCATCGGCGCCTGCGCAAGAAATACCGGGAAGGTATAATAAGGGTCGGGTCTTTCATTCGCCCCCCCCTCCCCCCTTTCACCCTCCGAGGGCGGATTTTTCACCGCGGGGCGAGGAAGAACCGGATTCGGGGGTCGGGAGTTCGCCCTCTTGTCCTTTGCCTCCCCATCGCTTCGGAAGGGAGTTGTTGGGCCCGGGCACCGCCCACCTTTCTTCTCTCGGTCCCGGGACTGAAAGGCTGAGCAGAGGAGGAGGAGGAGGAGGAGGAGGCCGGTGGGCCCTCAGCCTGTGCGGGGAGGAAGCGGGGTCGAGTCTCCCTCCCGTGCAATGTGGGAAACGGTAATAACTCCCAAATTCCCTTGGAAGGCAAAAGGGGGAAAAAAGAAAAATTAACTCCAA